TGTTTTCATGGAAACAGTATGAAAATTACAATGTATATATTGTTTGTATGAATTTGGAGGCTACTTTAAATAAATTCAAACTGCTTCACATGTGTTAGATAAACTTAACATAACTTGCACATCACATTGTTTTTTATATGTATATTTAGGTAAATTAAGTTATTGTGTTTTGCTAAACCTATGCTTAAATTAAACTAAAGAATACCATCAATAACTAGATTGTCGTTGATTTTTGTTTTCTAAAATCTGTTGTATATGTGTAACTATATTAAATTATCAAATGGTAATACAAAATACTCTTATTTTATCTTAACATAGCTTTCAGTTTACTTTTACTTTATTTGATACATTTATTATTTGTGTTTTGCCACATTGATTAAATTAAACCAAGGAAAATATCATAAAACTAAGCAGTACACAGTGTTCTTTTGTTTCTAAAATCAATGAAATATCTGTTACTATGTTTTCTTAATGGTAAGTGTGAAAATGTAAAGGCAATGGACGATGGAACTGATTTAATAGAACTGGTTTGTATATTAAGTTGTTTGTTGATATTTTTGTATAGTAGAATCAGAGATGCAATGAAACATATATTGTATTTTGCTATTACATTTTTTAGTCCTTATGCTTTGATAATCATATTAGTTTTGTCTGCTGTCTTTAATGCTAAATTATTTGTTTGAAATTTTTTACAGTACCTATGGATATAGTTTCTTTAATATTTCAAAAGACTGTATTGATAAGGCACAGCAATATTTCTAAAGTTTATAACAGCTGACTTAGTTTTGCTAATGATTTATTGTGAGTGAAAACACTGAAGATAAAGGATTTGTGATTTAATATAGAGAAGAGTTTAATATAAAGATATTTAAATTTAATAGTTATTATTTTTGCAACTTCAAAATTGAAATTTAAAATGTCAATAATAAATTAAAAGATGTGTAATTAAGGGAGATAAAGGTAAATCTGGTAAATAATGTTCAAGTTTTACTCGAAGATTTGGTCAGTTTTTCTCATATCAGCCTACACAAGATTTAAAATTAATCAATACCCCCGCCGCAGCAAACCTGCCGACTAAGCGAATTTCCATTTCTGGATTGATTTTCAGTTAAATATATTTTAATAACATTAGGTTTAACGAGTACCTAGGTTTGCTGCTACAAGGAAACTAATAAAGTGTGTTTTTGAGTAAAATATTGATAGCTTAGTACAAAATAAATAAATTTGCCAAGTTTGATCAAAATATATCCATAAACAAGCAAACTACAACATTTGACAATATTCTCCATAAGAATAACATGGGAATTTTAAATTTACAATTTCTTTAATTTTCTCCGTTATCAATAATCGAACAAAAATACTTTTATATACTAAATTATTTGTTTTTTTAAGCTCTTTAATAAGGTCTAAAGAGAAATCGGGAAATTTTGTGTTTTGAGGGTCAAAAGTGAGAAAAACCAATTTTTACCCCATAAAACCCCCCGTAAAGCCCCGTTCCCATAGTCCGATCGTGCTGGTTCGCGAACTCATTCAAGTTTATCCCGCTTTACACCTTTAAACCAAATTTCATCAAAATCGGACAAAAATTACTCAAGTTATCGCGTTCACGGACGTATATATATATATATATATATATATATATATATATATATATATATATATATATATAAGTCTATATATATACATATATAAAAATTTGAACGAATGGTGTTTTTGGCCTCTGGGGACATCAAAATGAAAAAGTAAATCGGTCCCGGGTCTAGGTCTAACCGTGCCACCTACGGTAATAGCTACTTCCCTATAGGGAAATTCGCTAAAACCAAAATGGTGGTATCCACTACTTACCAGATTTAAAAGTCGTAATTTAAACGTTTCTATTAAGGCTATAAAAGTTGAATTTTGTTTCTAAAAGCGTTGGCGGATCTGTAACTATTATATGCAAGAGATAATGATTAAAATGTTTCTATTTTGTGTCCTCTTCCCGTTGCAAAGCACGGGTACAACAGCTAGTTATAAAATAATGATTAAATCAAAAACAAAACATTATACAAATGGAAATGTGCACACGGTTGGCCTGAGCCCGGAGAGCGACGAATCAGAGCTGAAATCATACAGCCAAAAACATTGAACATATTGAATAGTCATTGAATAGTCATTTATTCAGTCTTTAAACAATACATTATTGTAATTGACATCGTCATTATTATTGTAAAAAGATATAAGATGCAATACTTATAATTATTAAAATTTGACATGAAAATATCAAAATATAGGCTGCCCTTAGTTTAACATTTAACAGGTTTAAAATAATTTTTAAAAAATATGCAAACTTAACAAACTTAAATTATGAATAATAGTGAATAATAGTGGGTCTTTCTTAAAAAGGCTAATGGTTATCACAGGTGTACAATGAACATAGAGGGACAAAATTACTAACATTATCACAGATGGAATATGGTAAAAAAAACATATCAAAATAGTGAACATGAAATATCAAAAATTAATTACAGTAATAAAAATCCTAGCCTAACTTAAAAACAAAATTTCTCACATTATCACAGATGGAATAGGGTAAAAAACATATCAAAATAGTGAACATGAAAAATATGAAAATTAATTACAGTAATAAAAATCCTAGCCTAACTTAAAAACATTTAGGTAACATTAGCAAAAAATGAGATCACATTCAAAAAATTCCTCAATTTTGTAAACTGGGTGAGATGAAAGCCACATAGTTAATTTTCTTTTAAAGACACTTAACGGCAAGGACTTGACTTGGGGATGAAGCTTATTAAATAATTTAATACCTAAAACAAAATGACTGTTTGCAGTTTTCTGTAGCCTACAGTGAGGTACATCAACTAGACCCCTATTCCTTGTGTTATAACCATGAATGTCTTGGCGCAAATCATACTCTTTTTCCTTTTTCTTAACATTAATCAGACAATGCAGGATAAAAACATTAATGACAGTTAATATGCCAGTGCCCACAAATAACGGTTTACAATGTGCTCTTCGGCGAGATCTAGTTATGATTTATATTTTATATTTTCATATTTTATAGTTTAAAATTAAAGATTTGTTTTGTGTTCTTACGAATTCTGTTATAGTTTCCATTTTGAGAACCAAATGTAAAGGTTAAAATTATTATTAATTATTATGAAGGCAACTCCCCATTTGGCGGTGGTAAGTCAGAAATCTATGAATTTGTCCCTGAATTTTAAGACAGTAAGGCCCATTTCCCGGAATCTCTTTTTGTGTAGCGGAAAGCGACGCAATAGCCATTGCACTGTTGTATTGCCTTATGTTTTTTATGAAGTTTGAATCATGTTAAAACAATTAGTTAGTCATTTACTTGTGGTTGTGGTATGTCCATTGTGGCAACATGCGTTGAAATGTCCATTTGTGGCCTCCTCTGCGAAGTGAAGTGCGCCACAATACATGCAAGTGCTGTTAAGAGGACCTAGATTGTGAGAAACAACAATCAATCAATCAATCAATCAAAATATCTTTATTTCATAATATGCAAACATATAGTTACATGAAATAGAGTCATGGGAACTAAAACTAAGTGAGATGGTTATTCAAAAAATACATAAGGTTAAATTGTATTCTAAATTATTAAGAGAGAGTCAAAATCAAAAGAGTCAAGAACAAAACTCCCCGATAGAAAAGAAAGCTGATTGGATTAGAAATGCTTTTGCCAAATTTAAAAATCTGTTTGTATTATTTATTTCTTTTTTGATATTTTGTGGCAAAAGATCGAAATATTTGTTTCCTTTATAGGTGATTTTCTTTTTAAAAAGCTCTAATTTATGATGTTCAACCAATCGATGGGGTCTTGTATTATAGCTATGGACAGTATTACCAAATGTTAGTTTATTGTTAGATACTACAAATTTTATTGTTTCAAAAATAAAGAGGCTGTAAACTGTAAATATTTTCAATTTGGAAAAATCATTTTTAACTACATCAGATTTTTTTTTTAGATTCAAAATTACCGTTAATGCCCTTTTCTGTTGGAACCTCAGAAAACACTCAACTTATTTTCCAGCGTTCTTCTGAAGGAAGGTTGTAAAACAGCTTCTGGATTTCTTTCACAGTTAGGCCCTACATGACCTCTCTTTCAGCATTTCTTAAATCAGTTGAATTCCTGGACACTCTTCCACGTCTTGCAGGTCCCTACCCTGTATAGTTACTTCACTCGTTATAAAAACGGAAAACAAAAAAATTAAACAAATACAATTGATTTTGAAACATTATTTACCAACATAACATGGCCTTTTGAATAAATGTAAACATTGCAAATAAATAAGTAACAGCTGATAGAATGCAGACGTTTTTCAGTCCCCATGTATTTCTTATGGTGGATATTTTACGTTATATCTCGTTTTCTGGTAACTTTATGGGAATTCTGCTATTTTTCCCAAGTCCCTGGGGTCAAGACCTTTAATTTAAGACCCCTCCCACTTTTCTGCGACCTACCAGGCGTCCACAATTTTCTGGTAAACATTTTGTCTTACAGAATTATATATATAGATAGATTACTTCATTCATTATAAAAACGGAAACAAAAAAAAAACACAATTCATTTTGAAACATTATTTACCAACTTTGACTTTCGGAATAAATGTAAACATTGCAAATAAATAAGTAACAGCTGATAGAATGCAGACGTTTTTCGGTCCCCATGTATTTTATATGGTGGATATTTTACGTTATATCTCGTTTTCTGGTAACTTTATGGAAATTCTGCTATTTTTCCCGAATCCCTGGGGTCAAGACCTTTAATTTAAGACCTCTCCCACTTTTCTGCAACTTACCAGACGTCCACAATTTTCTGGTAAAAATTTGGTCTTACAGAATTATATATATAGATGCCAGTAATCTCGTATCTCTCATTTTCTGTTTTTATTTGGTTGGCCATATGTAGAAGTAAAAGTTGGCAACACTTTAAAACTGTGTACACACAACTTATTTTTGGCAGACGAATTTATTTGTTAGCGTTAACGTTAAACTTAACATGGCTTCTCTGTCTGAAGTTGGTGTACTAAGGTGTTAGAAAATGAAATGACCCAATATTCTTGTGTATTCAAGATTTAGGGATTTAGTAATGTAAAGTGAAATATCGAAGAGTGTTATGCAGTGTATGTTAAATCTTAAATATGTCTACGAGATCTCAGCTGACGAAGGATTTGAATGGTGAGTCAAGTTCAAGTTTTTCTTGCGAATTACCTTGACCTAGAGTCTAGAGACCATAGGTAGCATCTTCGTTTTCATTTGTATCAAAACATAGTCGTAAAAGCAGTCAAATTAGTTTATATTACAATGACTTAACACTGCCTGGTTCTCATTCTCCGACATAGTTATATTTTATTTTTACTTAGGCTAGGTAGGCCTAGGGCAAAACTTAAGTTAAGGGCTTTCTCAAATACCACTTCCTTATTTCTGGGCATAATAGGCTAAATTTACTTTAAAATTAAGAAATAAAATAGGCTTGGTTTGGAAGAAAGAGGTAGCATTAGCTTAATGTACCTACGATCTACGGTAGGCAAACCGGTACCTACAATAATAACAGGTATAGTTTTCATAAACTGGTCTAATATCGATTAAAATATTGACTCGATTACTAAACCTTCATTCAATATTTTCATACTCAGCAACTTTTTGTTAGTTAGGTTGGTTTTATAATCGATTCATCCATACCTACCTTTTACCTTTTGGATTGATCTTGGTCCTCTTTGACCGTAGTCGTAGAGACTAGGGAATCATCATCTGCTTTTTTCTTTTTCTGTCATTATAGTGTTTAATGTGTATGGTGTAATGTGGGTTTGTTTTGGGGCCTATCTTTATGGTGAGCAGTGTGCTCTTCAAAGAACTCATCCAAACTTACCGTAATTTGTAAAATTGTTTTTTGACTTGATAGGCCTATTCTTTGAGTGTTTTAAAATAAGTTTTGGATATTTTATTCGTTTTACATGTTTTGGGAGAGCATTAAACAAATTTTGACCCCAAGATTTGGGGTATTTTGCTGGTTTTTGACAATCTGTGTTCTTGGGTATCGAAGTTTGTTTTTGTGTTTCTTAAGCTAACTTAGGGATTTGTGGCAGTTTTCCCTAAGCTTTGGGGGGTTTAGTTTTAGGAGGTTTACAACTTAGAGGATGTATAGGTTTGGCACGGTAAAGATTTTGTTTTTGACGAAGTATGGTTTACAATGTTCCTGTGGTTGTAGATTTTTTATGATTCCTAACGCAATTTTTTTAAGAATTTGGATTATGTAGATGTAGCAATCCGCCGATGTCCCTCAGGCTACTATTCCGAAGTGCAAGTGAGATTGGTAGGATTTTGTGAGATTCGTTCAAGAGTGTGTAAGTTAGTTGGCTATTTTTGAAGTGTTTTGTCTGTTATGGAGCGTATCCTTTGTATGGCAAAAAGTGATGATGATAATTTTTTCCCAAGTTTTTCTAGGTGGTTATTCCAGGTCAGGTGTTGTTCTATACCTAGTTAACTTATGTCGAGGAAAGTTGTATGAGTTGCTGATGATATCAGATACGGTAGGCCTACGTTTGGTTTTTTCTCCCAGTATGAGGTGATGGTTTCGCAGAGTTGGTTTTGGGTTGTATTTATGGACTTATTTTTGCAAAAGCCGTGTTGATTGGACAAAAGAAAATCAATAGGCTATTAATAAAAGTGTTCCATGATTTGTTTGTAGATTACTTTTTAAGATATTTTGATATGTGGCGAGGATAGAATCGGTCTGTTTCATTTTTTCATGTTTTGGGTAGGCCTACAGCACAGCCTGTTGCTATTTTCATTGTTGGTACTCCCTATTGGAAATTTTGCTTAGGTTGTGTTCTTATTTTTTTTCTTTTTGATTTCTAAGTCGTATGTACGTTTTAGGATGGTGAGGGTCTTCTTGTCTCCTTCTCGTCCAGTGATATTGTTTATTTTGTGATGTAGTTAAGACAGTTTTCAGTTTTTGTAGGTTTTCTTCCCAGAAGTATGATTTATTTTTAGATTAAAATAGGTATTTTTTTGAGTTCTTGGCATAATTTCGTCCATCTCTCTTCTTTTAATGTTGATAAAATTATTGTATTTTTGTTCCAAAAACTGACTCTCATACACTTCTCTCCAGGTTTCTTTACTAAGTCTCCTTTTTATTTCTTCTAAATTTTGAGGTGAGATAGGACTAAACTTAATGGTTTTTTTTATGGTTTGGTTAAGAGAGTTTTAAAATCTTTAGTAGATTCGTGGTCTGAAAGGTTGTTTTGGCTGGATTTTGCATTTATTTGGGAAGTATTGAGATTTGAGCCGCATCCATCTATTGAGTTTTCGATGTTGCTGTAATTCTAGTATAAGGTGTGTCGATAAAGATTACATAGACTAACTGTTAAATATATCTAATTTTAGGCCTACTATTAGGCCGATCAATATTTTCAATAGATATTAGGGTACCTAGCCCAGTTAAGAAACTGTACTCAGGATAACTTAGTCGGTCTATCTTATCAATGTTTTGAGCCTACTGGTGCTCAACATTAGCTTTAAGAATAAGTAGGCCTATTTACCAAGCTGGGCCTAGGCCTATTTAAAAAATTCTTCTCTTCTACCGCTAGACTCTCACATCCAAAGCCTAAGTTACCTAGCCTACCTGGTTTTTATTAACTTAGTCCTACCTAGCAAGTCAGTGGGTTTTATGACATATGTTTAGTTGAATGAGTTTATGAACCAGCATATTCGGACTAAGTATAGGAACGGGATTTTACGGGGATATTATGGGGTAAAAATGGGGTTTTCCAGTTTTTTAACCTCAAAACATTAGACAATGCATTCTATTTCTAAACTAGTTTGACTTGCTCACAAAACAAATAGTCCAGTGCAATTAGACAAAAAAATGGCCTTGACCTGGACTTTAGAGTTAATGTCTCGTTCACAAAACATACAGTGACGTTTGAAGTTGAATTCACCGAGTAACAAACGGACCTTTCAATTTTAAAACAGGTAGTACATGTGTGAAGAACACGATACCTATCCTCTCTACTCCTTAGCTATCGTGGACTTACACATGAGGTAGATCTGAGCTTCACAAATTTATAGTACTAGTTTACTTATGTTGTGTGAGGGTTGTTTTCCCCAGAAATATAATTCCAGTTGTATATGCTAGGTATAACCATCAAACCTATATTTCAACTGAGCTCTAAAACAAACAGAGCAACCCTACAAATGACACTATTATAACTAGCTGTTGTTACCCACGGGCTTCACCCCGTTTGACTTCATGAGTATTAATAACACTATTGTTTGGTTAAATCACACCTGATTTTAATAGGTAGTAAATTGAAAGAATAACAAACAAATACCTAAGTACAGCTGAGGCATTTTTAACAATAGGTATATGGAAAGTTCCCTTTAGAATGGAATTACGACCTTAAAGCTCAATTTATGAAATAATGGATAGTTTTGCGCAAGGTTTCTCTTCATGACGAACATTTTAAGTATATGGTTTATGGGTAGTCCAGCATCTATAGGGGGTTGAGTATGCACTGAAAGTGTAACTCTTTTTGACTTTTGATTGTTGTTGGGGGCATCTTGGAGATGACAAAAACCGATGTTGTCGCCCTCCCAGCAGGTGCACAACTTGGGGGGAGGGGGGGGGAAGGTGCTCTGAGACGCGTTCTAGAAAATCGCTTATATCTCGTGAACTAGACACGATAGAAACAAGCTCTAAACGGCATTGTATTACCAACTTCATCTGCATTAAAAAAGTATCCAGGAAAAGTCCAGTATCTATGATATTAGTTGAGTCATTTAACAATTTATTTAAAATTTTGAATAAAAACCCCTAAAAAATGTTAAATTATCCATTAAAACCCCTTTAAAACAACAAAAAGTATAGTTTTTCATCGTGCATTATATGTTTTACACTCTAAAGTGACTGTATATGGAAATTATATCGTGATATTACAAAGTTATGCGAGGTTTCCGATGAAGCGGCACGGTGACGCGGGTGACGCCGCTGCGCGGCAGAAATCAACGTGTAGTACAGACTTGTAAAAATTGGGTATATACCGAAAGTGTAACGCATTTTGACTTTTGATTGTTGTTGAGGGCAGCTTGGAGATGACAAAAACCTATGTTGTCGCCATTCCAGCAGGTGCACAACTTGGTGGGAGGGGGGGGGGGGGGGAGTAGCGTTGAGGCGCGTTCTAGAACATCGCTCATATCTTGTGAACTAGACACGATAGAAACCTGTTTAAAACGACATTGTATTACAAACCGCATCTGCTTTAAATATTTTACAATGAAAAATCCTATATCAATGATAATAATTGAGTTATTTAACATTTTATTTGAAATTACAGATGCTGGACTAGGGGTTGTGACTTGTAGTTTTCTCAAAAGTTCATGGGTACTTTTGGCTTTATATATGGATTACAATGTGAGAGCCGACTACAGAACCGCTCTGGAGGCAGCGCAATCGCTAAGCTAGGTTCCCTGTTTTACTTTAGCCCACGTCTGATACGCAAATAGTAATAAGAATGAACTTCTCCCTTTTTACTCAAAACGACCACTAAATGAAACCCCTTTAAATTAAAGACTCCCAAGTTTCTCAGACTTTTTTTTTCTAGGACACTAGGCACGAGCCTAGAATTGTTTTTCACATTATTTCAGACTAGACCTAGGGGTTGCGGTGTTATCACTTAGGTAAAATCCATTGGTGACTTGGCGGGGATCAAACCCGGGACCTCAGGGTTTCTCAGATAGAACAAAACTGAACCCTCAACTTTCTCCCAAAAACAAGACTTAACCCCTAAACCTCTCCCATCGGAGCTGACCCCAAAAATAGTAACAGATCCAGTACTCACCACCTCCCGTGCCTCCCCTCCTGGTTGACTAACCCCATTCTATTGCCACTTAGCCTATTTATCTGATCGCTCTGCTACTGTGTGCAAAGACCTCAGTGTTTACCTAAACACCTCCAGTTCGCTTCCTAGTTGGCAAGGTCTCTCACCCCCTATCTACAATATTAACTCTAAAACCACTAGCCTAATTATAGGACTGGGATGAACCATCTTTGAACTGGTCCGGATGTAGAATTTATTAGTTTTTCCAGTGAACCTATTCATTGTTGGGTAGCTGGGTGGTTATAGTGCTTGCCTGGTTACCCACATGTTGTCAGTTTAATCCTGAGCAAAGTCAAAACA